AATGGTAAATAAATGTTTACTTACCATTGCAAAAAGAAAATCTATTTCGCTTCAATTAATGAATGTTGCAAAATGTTATATATTAAGAGTTTCAGCAACATGTACTAAACGTTGATATTGAACCAAATTTTAACAACGTTCAAAAAACATTGCAAAAAATAAATCTTTTCGCAACATTTAAAATATGTTGCAAGCTTTTTGCAATAGTCAATAAACGTTGCAAAATGCTATATATTAAGAGTTTCGGCAATTGACACTGAACGTTGTTACAAATTTAGATTTTAACAACCTTGCAAAAAATGAAACATTTTGTAACATTCAAAAAAATGCTGCAAAATGCAATATTAGCAACATTCATTTAAAAAATATTATCAAAAGTCAATTATTTTAACTAATGGCAACATTTATTTATTCAAATGTTGCGATAGACTCCTTTAACAATATTCAATCAAGTAATTAATGAATTTTGCCTTTTCAATGTTACAAAATGTCATTTTTCTTATAGTGTTTCTTTGAATACTCAATAAAATTATCATCAATTTTCATAGAAACCAGCCAGAGTTCTATACTCAAATAAGTGTTTCTGTCAAGGGTGCAATGTATCTAGGTACCCCCACTATGTAACATCTATAGAAAACATTAAGAGCCATATGATATGATCTGGGTTAGGCCAAAGTCGGCCGCATAGTATACGTCGGGACCAAAGTTGCAATTTTCTCGTGAGAATCCTATTTTGACTCAATTTCTTATTTTTGGCAAGTTTATTATTTTAGGACTCTTAAATCAGATTTTTTTTTTTTCATATTTCTAGACTTTACTATAAATAGTTTTTTTTAATTATTTATTTGAAATTTATTCGTACTTTTTGAAAATTTGGGAGTATAAGTTGCAATTTGTTCTTTATTTTTCTTTTCTTTATTTTTGTTTATTTAAATAGGATGGTAGATTTGTCCTTTTATAGTTTTAAATTGAAAAAATGGAAAACAAATAATGATGATTTTTGCAATGAAATGTAAAAATATGAGTGAAAATGTTATAAATGAAAGGTAAGAACTTTTTGCACAATATTATTGAAAGGTAGGATGTTTGTGTTAATTACTCTTTTAATATTTTATTTGGACTTATTCGCACTTTTTAAAAGAGTTTGGAAGTATGCTTGCAATTTCTTATTATTTAATTTTTCTTTTCTTTTCTTTTTATTTAAATAAGAGGACATATTTATCATTTTACATTTTTTTTAATTGAGAAATTGGATGAAAAATATGATTTCTGCAATGAAATGTGAAGATATGAGTGAAAATGCCAAAAAAATGAAAAAGTAAGAAAGTTTTGCACAATAATATTAAAAAGTAACGATGTTTTGTGCTAATTACCCATTAGGTATGTTTTGACATCTCCAATTGGTTGCGAACGAAAGTGTGGCATAGTAACTGCCAATCAACACACACCACCATAATTGCTTTGATTGGGGTTGCCTCTTTTCGGTGGTATTGTAATTACAAGATCCAAATAATTGCAGAGAGACAGTGACTTTATACACAATGTTGTGGATGAAGAAGTTACCTGCCATTTGTTATATGTTTGTTGGCAAGTGAAAGCTACACTTGAAGATATGGACACAGACAAACTTGCATGAGATTTCTAAGTTATATGGTTGGCAATTTTCCTTCTTTGGTAGTTTAGAACCCAACCTTGTATCTCTTCAAACACTGACTTCCTAACCAACTGATGATAATTGGACAGAATTTTACGTGATCAAACATCAATTTGGTCGATTGCGCACAAATATTTTGTGTGATTCATAACTACATTTATTGACAGATCTAACGTAATAATATTATTTGCTACTCCCTATTCTAATATATTAAAATTATCTACGTACAATAGTTTTCAATATTATCATCCTTAATTAAGAGTTTGTTTGGTATAGCTTAAAAGCCAATTAAAATCAATTTTTAACCGTTATTTAACTATTTCAGCCAACATTTTTGAATTCTTCTCTCACAAGTAGGACTCACTTTATCTTTTGCGTAGAATCCTATAGTGGCAAAGTATTTAATTACATAAAAGCATTAGTGCTCTAACCAATCATACATAAACATGTTTTAATCCTTTTATTATCATTATTATTATTTTAAACTTTATAGGCATCTTCTTTGTAGTACTTATTTATAGCAACTAACCCACTTCTTTCATGTACTCTTCTCTCAACTCCTTATTTTTATTGATAATCAAATTAAAGTACTTCAAGCAATCATTTTTTGAGATAATGGGTAAATTATAGCGTTCTTATTCCTAATATGGCTAAAAAAGCATTCCATGGACTTGATTTTGAATAACGTAAAATGGTTTTCTCCGAGCTTTTAACTTAAAAAACAATTTATCTCGCTCTCAATCTCTTTAAATAAAAATATACCATCGTGAAATCACATCTAAGACCAAATTTATCATAAATGTTGGCGACTAGCTCGAAATATGTTATTTGTATCTAAATTATTTTATTCCTATTATTAAGACTAAATTATATTGCAATGATGAAAACTAGATTATCTGCAAAGAGAATTAGAGGGTGCAGTATTATTTGAAATTTAAGGACAAATATGAGATTAAGCTAAATCTGATGAACTATAACGTGAATCTTTTAATGAATTTGACGTCCTCGACCATTGCCTCTAGCAATGCTTTGGGTGAACTGTAACTAGGATGTCCTACTCCTGTTGATCCTCATATTTCACTACTTCGATCATTTTCGAGCATCTCATAGTATTTTCTAAATGTCAGAAGATTCGACCATTTCTCTATGATTCTTTCACTTCTCAAGATAAATTCTTTCATTTGTGCCCCATAAATACTGATTCAAATTGATTTACTATGTCAAAAGAAGGATAGTTATTCTGATTTGGTATAGTCTATCTCCAAAAATATTTTAATAATTACCTTTTTATTTTTAATACTTTTGAATTAAAAATGTTATTCTTTTTAAAAGATTGTGAGCCATGACTCCTCTATGCCCGTCCATTTGTCCTGATAATATAACAGTATCCACTTCAATTCGTCATTTCCATGAAACCACACATCATCATCTTTACTATTCATGCAGATAGCTACTTACGCGACATGCCCCTTGACTCGTTATCTTATTTTCTATCCAAGCCCCATTTTTTTCTATAATTCATTTTCAATCGCACATTCTTTAATAAAATAATTGTACACATAAACTTAAGATTTTTTTCCAATTTTTTATTTAAATTACTATTTCAAAACATATTTTTCTTGTAAAATGGAACTCATAGAACTCACATTGGGGCTAAATTTGTTGTTTAGCTCCCGTTTGACCACCCATTCTTTTCAAATTTTAATGGTTGGACTAGTTTCTTTTTAAAAAAAAAATATGTAGTTAAAAATGAATGAATTTTTTTTTATTTGTGTGTAATATTATTTTATAAAAAATTGTATGGTTAAAAATAAGGGAGAGAAGAAAAATAATGAGAAAAAAATGGGGGCAAAACCTATAATAAATGTTCCACTTATAATTTTCCCATTGCCAAGTCATCATTACTTTTAGGGAAATTTGCAGTTGAAGTACCAAACCTTTAGTTTATTAATAGATTTGACCCAAACTTTTCATTTGTACCCCACATGATACCAAACCTTTAAAAATTTGCAGTTGAAGTCCAAATAGATGAAAATTGTTAATTTGACTGTTAGTTGACTAAAGAATTAACATTGACCATAATTTTGAACAATTTTTAAAGGATAAAATGGTAACTTTACATTTTCAACCAAAAACATAATTACAATATATTAATAATTAAATAACAAAAGCGCGCTATTCATCATCTTCTTCACTCACCCCAAAAACCAAAACCCACCAAAATCGGCACCTACCAAAACATGTATTTCATCATTACAAAAAATTGGAATCATAAAAATTGAGTTTTAAGAGTTCAATTTGAGTACAATTTTATTCTCCTAAATTTTTGTGCTAAATTTTATTTTCTTTAATTCGTCCGAGACTCATCAAATCCTCCAACATATTGGTATCAAATATTACTTTTACATCATTTATAAAATATTTTAGAATAACGTGCAATACACGTTCAAATTTGACTATTTACATAAAAAAAAAAATCCTTATATTAATCCAGAAAAATAGTAGCAAACAAGTTAATACTATCCTTCCAAAATTCAAGTCACAATCCACATTGTATCGTTTAAATTTCTTCAACGAGTCAGGCCTTCTCGGCATCTTTGTAGGGGATCCAAGAACCGGAGAAGTTCCAGTAAAAAGAGTTAATGAAGCTAAAAGAAGAACAAAATAAGCAACAACTCGGGTTGATTTCGACATAACTTTTCTGGAATATTTTGAGAACGATGAATTTTTTTGAAGCCCAAATATAAAATTGCGAGAAATTTGGAAGAGGAAAGGTCGAAAATGCATCCCTCCTGACTTGGTTATTAAGGTAAGAATAGCTTGTGGCCATGGATTCGATGGTGGTGCTGACATTGATATTCTTATTGGAGGTTGACTCTTATTTTGTGACGTAGGGGTTGGGTGGTGCGACCACTAGTTGGTGGTGGTTTTGGGATAAAGATTTGAAGAAGAAAGGGATGGAGTGGAAGGTTTTTGTTTTCAATTGAAAAATGTAAAGATATCATGTTATCCTTTTAAAATTAGTCAAAATTATGATCAATATTAATTCTTTGGCCAACTAACAGTCAAATTAATAATTTTTATCCATTTGGACTTCAACAAGAAGTTTTTAAAAGGTTTGATATCGTGACTGACACAAATGAAAGAGTTAGGTCAAGTCTGTTAATAAGCAAAAGATTTGATACCTCGATTGCAATTTTCCCTCACTTTTAAGCATACACAAACCAATCAAACTTGACTTCTACCAAATACCAATTGACAAAATTATTTTCAAAACTTATAATAAACATTGTAAGCTTATCCAAACTTATTTTCAATTGACATTTTTTCCAGTCTAATAAGCGGTGAGTATAGAAAAAAGTTAACAGAAGTTGTGACACAATTCTTTTCCACCACACCCCACTAGTGAATGCTTAAAGGAACCTGAGTTTTTCTCATCCTCTCTCTCTATAATTTCCTACACAGAGCCTCCCAGAATTTATACCGCAGATTTCGTTAGATTGTCTCAAATTCCCTCCTGGTTCCACTTCATAACCCATTAGTCTCTGCACTTCATACTTACACCCTTACACGTACAATGAATAAATAAATATTTTTCCGTCAAACCAAAAACAAAACCTGGATTTTATACATTTTAGGTCTATCCTCCCCGTAGTCTGAGATTTTTGACCTTTTCCATGTCAATATGTAGATTTTTATTGGGTTTCTTTTAAAACTTTGATTCAGTGTCTTTATTGATTTATAATCACCAGCAATAAGAAATTAGCATTTAGGACTGGGGCTTCTACCGTAATTTTTTTCATCAAAGAAATAATTTTTTTTTTAATCATTTTCTGTAATTAAGTTGGAATGGATCTGAGAGCCGTTGTTTGAATTTGAGGATTTGATTGTTGAGAAGAAGTTATCACTTTTGGTGTTGAATGGTTAACTGTATAATCAAGCAAGATTAATTTTTTTATTTGGGTCGTTTTTAATTCATTTTTCGAAATTAAGTATGGATCATGTGATTGGAGGTAAATTTAAGCTGGGGAGGAAGATTGGAAGTGGATCCTTTGGAGAGCTTTATTTGGGTAATTTTGATTACCATTTTGAACTATAAATTAATGGTTTCTTAATTTTTTTATGGGATTTCACGTTGAAATTATTTATTGATTTCAATTCAAATCAGGAACAAATATACAATCTGGAGAAGAAGTTGCTGTGAAGCTGGTGAGTTGAAAACTTTGCACCGTGCTCTCTACATTTTTGTTTCTGTCTAAATTCATTTTGTTTATTTTGGATTGTGAAGTCTTCTTATCGATCCTACAAAATTTAACTTTTAGTTATGAAACTAGAGAAAGCAGTTTTTTTTATTTATTTTTATTTTTTATTTTATAAAAATAGTTGATTGTGTGCTGTATTTAGCCCATTTGCTAAGTGGTTGATCAATGTAATTATTGTTTGCCATTTGCCTAATGGCCATTAATATTTTATTCTACGAGTTTACTTAGCAGTACAATATCTCGCATTTTGTTCTCTTAGTGAAAACATATTTTTTCTCTCCTCATTTTTACAGGAATCTGCTAAAACTAAACACCCTCAGCTTCACTATGAATCAAAGTTGTATATGCTTCTTCAGGGAGGCAGTGAGTTTACTAATTTCTAAATTCTCTTGGTTTGCTATTGGTTATGCACTAAAGACAAGCAAATTTGTTAATGCTCTCTTTTGTTGAATGAAGCTGGGATTCCCCACCTTAAATGGTTTGGAGTTGAAGGGGAGTATAATGCCATGGTTATTGATCTTCTTGGACCTAGTTTAGAAGATTTATTTAACTATTGCAATCGGAAATTTACATTAAAAACAGTTCTAATGCTGGCTGATCAGTTAGTAAGTATTCCACCTTCATAGAAGATTGTTTACATGGTTTTGGCAACTTCAATTTTACTCACTGCCTTCTCTTTTATGTAGATCGCTAGAATAGAGTACATGCATTCTAGGGGTTTTCTTCACCGTGATATAAAGCCTGATAACTTCTTAATGGGGTTGGGGCGCAAAGCAAGTCAGGTATATTCTCTCTTTTTTCTGATTCAGGTGAAATATTTTTGCTTGTTTGTGCCTGCACATATTATTTTGTTCTCTTACTATTTTGGACTTCAATCTCCTTTGTATATTTTGCCAGTTGCCTTCACTATTATTGTTGGACATTGTCATGTATCCTTTGAACTGTAAAGAACATAATTATTGTTGGACATTGTCATTGGGCAGTTCTCCATTCTTGAACTTTGCAGAGTCATGCATAATGCATATGGCAAAAGTGAGATATATGCTTTTAGAGAGTACAATGTCTGATGGGTATCCGAAGCAAATGTATGACCTGTTAGATACATAATGGCGACACCCAAGAAAGTTTGAGTGATGTTCAAGTAGAAATTTGTATTTATTTGTTACGAAATTGCCCATTGATCAATTCCTTGTTAGATCTATTCCCTTTTGATTTGGGAGTATTGATTGTGCCCCTATTTCTGAGCTTCATGGGATGGCTATAGTTTCCGGAGTGAATATGAATGCATGGATACAAGTTTTGAATTGGAATGAAAGACTATTACAAATCCACTTTGTCTAAATACTACATATTTGTTTCTATTCATAAATATATTTTCTTCCTTATAAGTTCTAGTGTCAATAAGAATGCTAGTTCTTAGTGTTCATTTATTGTTATATCAACACACAATACCAATTCATTATGTATTGATTATGAGATTCCATTGATAAAGAGCCAGTTCTGATAGACTTATTAGAGGTCGCATTGATGTGCATCTAGTAGGGAATTTTATATAGTTGTGCATGGATTTGTGGATTGTGCGGTCTGCAGTTAGGCTGAATCGGGACATCATTATTAATCAGTTGTCTTACCATTAATGAACCCTCACGGAGTCTCATGCTCAATGTATATTTGTGTAAGAATAAGATATATGCTCCAAGAGAGATATGGATTCACACTTAAACTCACTTAAACTGGTTGGTAAAGGGAAAAAAGTTCCAAATTTGGGATTGAAGCCAAGGATGGTTGACTTGTTGCTTCCTTTTGGAAGTTATCCATTTCAACTAATGATTAGCTGAAAGTAGAGATTATATCTATGCCTTTGTATAATTTCAGGATGAATAGGAAGTTCAGCAGTAGTCCTATTGATCTGGTCTTTGTAAATCTAACATATAAAATTCACATTCTCTTCGCTATTGTTACTTATTTTTAGTGAAGAGAGGTTATTTGATTCTATTTCATATTCAATTGGCCCAACCCACAAATATGTTGTTTTACCTAGTGGGCTATTGAAAATCATGCAAAATAATATTTGAAATTGGTAATGGAATTTGAATTCTTTTGTCTTTCCCTTTGTCCACTCTGTGCTCCAGGACATATTCCCCCAAATTTTTTGTAGTTTATCCCTGTTGAGGTATTCTGTTGTTCAAAAAACAATGGTTTGTTTTGCTATTATTTTATCTTACTCCTATTGGGTCTCTTGTTTGTTTCTTTTACTGACTGTTCAGTTGCAGTTTAAAACTGTCTTTTGAGACACTCTAGCTAGTATGCCTATCTATACAGCATTCACGATTATACTAATATAAAGATTATTAATTCAAAACTTTAGCACAGAAATCAGTAGTATACCTGAATCCTTCATTAGGCTTTAATGAGGGCCTAAAAGAACCTGAACCATTTATAGAATTGAATGAAAATATTTTATTTTTTCTAATAACTTTTACTTTCTGAGCTGGATTTGCTCCCTTCCCTGGAGTTAAGATTTACCAAGAAGTATATTTTTTTCCTGTTGCTGGTGAAATGTTGAATATTTTTATTCAGTTTCATAACAATGGTAATGATTTAATATTATTTTGAGACATGGTCTAAGTTTTTTAGTTTTTGGTAACACATTTAATGAATTTGATGTGCTTATAGGTTGGTTTTTAACATGCACTTAAATTTTTATGTTATTGAATTTTTTCAACTTTCTACCTTCTTAAACTCACACCTTCTAGTCTTTTTTGAACAGGTATATATCATTGACTATGGGCTTGCAAAGAAATATAGGGATCTTCAAACTCATAAGCACATACCATACAGGTATGAACATGATAAGCTATTTTTTTTGGCTACATAATTACTTTTTTCATCTTTTAATTGTAAGTTTGTATTACGTATTTGCATGGCATCAGTTGTGCATCTATTTCTAATCAGCAATCAAAAGTTTCCTCCCAACCTCATTTTGTAGGCGTTTTAAGCTAAAGGCATTTACCTTGTTTGAATTCCTACGATTGCTTTAGGCACTCCTTTCACCCAGTTTGGTTGATATGAGCTCGTTTTGAGGCAACTCTCCATGTTATTTACCATTTATGAAGGAGGAGAAAGATGGGGACGGGTTGGGTGGCTGGGGGTAGTATGTTGGAAGATGATGCATTGCTACATTATTGGATTTGTACTTCTTTAGTTTCTTCCTTTATAAAAATACACACTTAAACAGTAGCACTGGATTGAATCTTTATTCTTACCATCTCAAGGGAGGATCCTGTTTTGGCAGCATAGTTATATCTTTATTTTCTCTTAGGGAATAGCTTGTGTGCTTGGCTCAAGGTGTTTTTCTTGTAGTCTTTAGCTGTATGAAGAGATGCATCTAACTCTACATCATACAAAAGGTCTTGTTCTCCTAGTAGTGGGACTGGTAAAGCTCACTTCTGTTTTTCTGCCATTTACTTCACAGACTGAAGGACAACAAAATTTCACTTTCCATCCCCAGAAAGTAGCCACTAACTCTATTTACTGATTTTTTCTGTTCACACTCCCTGAAAATGTGATTGGTTTCATTTTTGTAATTATCAAGGACCTTCCTTCCTCTCAAAGCTTTTCACTCAACTTGCGCCATTGCCTACCTAACCTAGAAGCAGTTTTTGTCGATTAATAACTAACATAATTTGCTTGACTCGATTTATACTAGCTAGTAAAAGTGGGTTTAAGGAATGTTTCCTGCTAGATGTCGAGAAAATATCCTCCTAACTTTTAAATCACATACCCACTTGATTGGAATTCATATCTCCTCCGTCTGGTCAAGAAGGGATAAAGTTAGATAGGTATTGACACGGAGAGTGCATATATTGATTCATAAAAAAACTAGCGGTTCAAATCACAGTGAACTATGTTATGAATTAATCTCCTTTATGGGGTAAAACAAGTTGTCCAAATCAAAGTGAACTATGTTATGACTTGATTTCCTTTATGGGGTACGTAGGCAGTTTGGAAGTTTTTCCAAGCATCATTAAATATTTTTTTTTTTTTATCATAGTTGGTCTTTATCATTGCTGGTTAGCAAAGTGATCAAAATGTTAGCCTTTTGTATTAGGTCCTTCTACCAAGGAAACATGTCTTTTGAAATGATTGTAACTCAATAATTGAAGGGTCTTGGCCAATGGATAGGAATTGAAGTAAACGTATAATTTTATTAATAATTTATTATTTGCAGATTGATGGATTGGTGAAAACTAAATTCTGTTTATATTCGTACATGTGTGATGGAGGACATTGTATCACAATGTGCATTCCTATGACAGTCACATATAGAAATGTTGGTTAACAGAGATTTTTTTTATATGATTTTTTATTGCTAGTAAAGTATAGCCATTGATGATTAATCAGTTTATTTCTAGCAAACATTTTTGAATTATGTAAGTGTAGTATCCAAAATTTATGATGCTCAGTCTCGAGTACTGGTATGTATTTAAGTGTTGGATATTTTATTTTCTAAAACATAGGATACGGGGGACATGGCTAAAAAGAGTCAAAATTTTGTTAATATGAACTTTTTGTCAACAATAATTCATTTTACTAAAATTGCAAAAATTGTGTAATAGTTGGAAGACTTAAACCCTTGCATAAATTGTCGTGTCTGGTTGAAGTACCCATGAATAAATTTTGTAACAGTTGGAAGACATGACCCGTGTATAAATTGTGTAACATTCGATGCAGCAAATAGGGGAAAACTCAAGCTTAGACATAGAAAGTGCGTAATTTTTTTTTTTTTAAAGAAAAATGAAAAACAACTTAAAGGTCACAATGAAACTGAGGTGCACAACTCATGTTCCTTGAGGCATGCTTACTGTGGCGTGCACATCAGTTAATGAGGCAACTGCCTTATTGAAATAGTACTGCCTCAAGGAACAATTAGTGTGGCTCTCAGGCGCCTTTTTAAATCATGATCCTCCAAGAGCAAATATACATAAATTTTTTAGAAAACTATTTGTATCTTATGCCTCGAATCTTGCCTCACTTGAGGCTTCACAAAATGCATAAGCACAATTTGTAAGACTTAGGATAAAGGTGTTAGCCCATTTATCTTCCCTTTTTTGGAAATTTTATTATTGTCCTTAACTTTTCAGCATATTTATTTATGATCTAGAATGTTTTAGAGGTATTTTATTTTTTATTTTTCCTTTACACAAAAGGGAAAGGGAAGTAGGATACATAATTGCTAGTGAAGGACGACAATAAATAATGTGAATAAACACTGTTTGACGAGAAGCATGATATTGATGATTCCCTTAAAGATTCTGTTAGTAGTGATGATATACGGATTTCTAAGTTGTTTCTAGTTCCTACTGGTATATTACAATTTTGTTTCATGATTGCTAATTTGAGAACTTACTATTTGCTATCTTCTTAATCTATTTTGCCTCCGTTTGACTAATTTATAAATGGTCAAACTTCATTTTCGACCACTTATTTCAATGGATTTACAAGTACGATCCACCTATCCATCATTCATTTCTATCCATTTCTAAATTAATTTGTTTATAAATTCTTTCGAAATGGAGGCTTTATGTCTGTTTGCAATTTTGTTAATTTGTTTTATTAAGGATTTTAAAGATGTTTTGTGGTTTATCTATTTATAAATTCTTTCTAAATGGAAGCTTTTATGTCTATTTGCAATTTTGTTAATTTGTTATATTGATTTTTAAGGTGTTTTATGGTTTATTATGAGCACATTTTGTATTATTTTATTGGTTTGTCTTGAGTGGCTTACTCACCCCACATAGACAAAAGCCTGATTAAGCGTTTTTTAAGCTATATATACACTTCGTGGAGAGGATGCTGAGGGCCTCATACGGTGTTCCAATTTGATCCCCTGCCAACTGGGATTTATCCAACCAAATAATATTCCTGTTGCCAAATATTGTTACATTCTTTTCGTTTTGTTTACTTTACTTTAGAGCAGAGTCAGTAGTAGTAGTTTCTAGGAGCTGTTGGAGCCCATTTTCTTGTGCTACAGACTATTTTTATCAAATGGAGATGGAAACATTCTTTTTCAACAATTCTCATTCTCTGTATGCTACTTTTTCTATGTGATGATACCTTGTTTTCTTGCCATATGAAGTGTGAAATGATAAATCTGCATTTAATTGAACTATAAACATTTTCAATTATGCATGTGTCTTAATGTAAAATTTTTCTTATTTCTTCATGTGCATTGTGCACATTATAGATAACTGAGATGACGTCTGAATATTAATTCAGCTTTCAATATTCATCTTTAGTACTTTGCTGGCCTTTTCTTGTTTGTAGGGAAAATAAAAATCTCACTGGCACGGCTCGTTATGCTAGCGTAAACACCCATCTTGGAGTTGGTGAGTGAACCTTATGGTTGCAACTAATTTCTGAAGATACTTATCTTGCTTCATGATTGCTCATCTCAAACTATTTAACTGGAACAAAATGAAGAAATACAATTGCAGTAACAAATTTTTGCTATACTGACCTTTCCTCTGATCATCTATTTCAGAACAAAGCAGAAGGGATGATCTAGAATCTCTTGGTTATGTCCTTATGTACTTCCTCAGGGGAAGGTTAGGCATGCTGGCATGAGAATTTCACTTCAGACTTCTCTATTGCTCTTTCTCCTCTCTCATTCATAACTGACTAATCACATTTGGTTTTTTCATCTTAGCCTCCCTTGGCAGGGCCTGAAAGCTGGCACTAAGAAGCAAAAGTATGACAAAATTAGTGAGAAGAAGATGCTTACACCTGTAGAAGTATTACTTGTTTATCCTGGTGTCATTTGTATGAATTCTTTTTTTATGTGATAGATTTTTGAATGACAACATTTTGTGTTTTCTGACAGGTTCTTTGTAAATCTTATCCATCGGAGTTCATATCATATTTCCATTATTGTCGATCATTGCGATTCGAGGACAAGCCTGATTATATGTACTTGAAGAGGCTTTTCCAAGACCTCTTTATTCGAGAAGGTAAACATATGTATAGATGTTTACTATTACAATTGCCGTTTGTATCTTCTTTTCACTTTATTCCATTTCATAGTCAATAAAACATCTTCAAAGTTGATTTCAAGACTTTTTTAATGGTTTGTCCTTGATGAATATGATAATTGGAGCAGGTTATCAATTGGACTATGTGTTTGACTGGACTATATTGAAGTATCCACAGATTGGCTCCAGTTCTAGAGCACGAGTTAGTGTTCTCTTGATTTGTTGTTTACTAACTTTTATTTTATTTTTTGAGTTATGGTTTGCATCTATATTTTTCTTTCTTTTATCAGCAGCCAATGGGAAAATTACCCATAAACCCTGGGCTATCGGCTGAAAGAGTACACAAGACTCCAGGTCTGCTAGGGCCCCTAATTTTTTTCAACTCCACCAAGATTTTACTGTGTATCCACTGCACACGACTGAATTTGCCACGTGCATTGGGAACTTTCTATTGCTTTTATATTTAACACAATTATCTGAAAATCAATAGGCTAACAAATGGTTGCATTATTTATGTGCATCAATAGTGAAGCAAGAAGTTCGAGACAAATTATCTGGTGCAGTTGAAGCATTTGCCAAAAGGAACGGTTCTAATGGAGGCTTGCACAGGGAAAACTCGAGGCACAGATCGGTAGACGTGCCATCATCAAAAGATGTGGTGAGTACTGATGATTTAGGTTTAATCTGTTTTGTCTGCACTCTATTTATTGCCTTCGGTGTTCCTTCTCCGTGTGTGCACTTGTTCAAGGAAAAGTTATAGCATTGCCAATCTATTGCTCCAATAGCAAGTTGGTCTCCAATATTTGAAAATGAGCAAGTTATTTACTAACCTTGCAAATGACTTGATACTACAGTCTAGGTGAGATGCTTCTGTGACAGATCTTCCACATTTTATTATAATTTCACAATCAATCCCTGGCACTGGAAACTTTCTAAATCATTGTTAAATCGTCACGTGACCTTGACATGTCCAACCTTTTGTAAGTTAAGTTTTGCTTCTAGACTTAAGCTGGTGTCCAGAACCCGAAGTTACTATCCTTTGGGACTCATTGGGAGGTGTGAAATTTGTTTATTTTTAAAGGTTGGGGATCATTTTGTTAATGGAGCAATAGTTTGGGACCAATGGTGCAATTTCTTTTTGTTTGAATGAACCTTGAATTGCATTCTATTTCACTATGTACCCTTGCTGCTTCATTCTCCAGCAACCTGATTCTGAAAGAGGACGGTTATCTCGCACTGGTAGCACTTCAAAGAGCCGCCTACTATCAAGCAGCAGGCCAAGCTCCTATGGGGAAGCCAGTGAAAATCGCAATAGCCGGTTAGGTTCTGGCAGCGGTCGACTATCCACCACTCACAGATTACAACCTGGCTTTGAGTCCAAATCTTCTTCTTTCATGCGTGCTGCAGTCTCCAGAGGCGGCCATGATGATGCTCTCCGTAGCTTTGAGCTTCTAAGAATTGGCTCCGGGAAAAGAAAATGATGAAATGGCGTATTTGAAACATTGTGGTTGTGTTAAAGCCTCATTGTTCCTACCTTACAATGGAAATAAAGCGACCCTATTTTATACATTCGTGACTCTGAGTATCGGGTATGCAACTAAAATTTCATGGGTCGAGTTTAACCGTGTGGCCTAAGAATTCAGCTGTCGTAAAGCCACTTCTTTGAAAATTGTTACTTACTATTCTAGCTTTAACCTTGTATTGTAACCCAACAATGATGCATGTTATCGTTAGACTATTGTAGTTCTACTAGTACTTGTCTTATCCATTGTTATACAACTTTCCAAATCTTTAGCTCCTTTTGTCATTGGTGATTGTACCTTGCTTTCGTCTTCTACTCTCCTTATCTCCACTAGAAAGGAAAAAAATGAAAATTTTGATTGTGAAAAAGGAGGGTTTCGGAGAAAGCTTGAATCGATTGTCATATTGGCTTTTCTTGAATGACTGAATTGCAATAAGCGATAAATTCAGTTATAACAAAATTTAAATTTATCGATCAATTTAAACAAAAAGTGAAAGTTTGGGGATCGATATGAACATTTTGTTCTGATCATTGTAAGTAATAACATAAAGCCATTGTTTACTGTGAATTAAAATAAGATTTTAATAAAAGTTCATGAAATACGTAGCTGAAAAGTTGTAGGTCTCATAAAATTTTTGGTTAAAATTAATTGTTGATTTTGATTTAAATTAACATTTGGATTTTAATCCCTATGAAATAATTATTAAGCGAAATTTCATTACTTCTTGTTTAACTAAGAATTTAAACTTTAGGGTTATTCATAACCATATAACTGTAGCCATATTTTTGAGAAATCTGATCCTGAGTTATATGACATTAGTGTAAACATTTCTGCTCTCGAGTTTGGCAAGCCATCCAATATCCAATATTATTCCCAAGAATATTACAGGTGTCAACAAACAATTAGCAACATGGTGAGCAAGATTAAGCAATAATCAATAATTAACATGATGTATCAGTCAAATCGGATGATTAAGCAAGAGATAGTTGTCTTGCTCATTCTTGTCAAAGCCTCATTTGCTAAGCATTCTGCAGCTTCTTGAGGGTCTTCTATGTGGCTTATCAGATTTACAGCCTCTTGGTTCTTCATAACCTGTAGAAATATGATCAAACACAGAGAAGGAGATGATAATTAAACAATTTGACGTGTTAGGTGAGGGGATTGAACAATATTAGACAACATTGAAGATATTAAGGACGTTAAAGTCTTGTTCATAGTCGGGTGAGTCATCTAAGATTATTGGAAATAGGAGTGGTTTTCAGGACCAAACAAGGCAACCCTGTAATGTGTATGAAAAGGGAGAGGTTTTTGTGCTGGAGGTCGACGGCTGAGCCCACTCTGGCCTCGCATGGCAGGCCCCTGTGGTTGCGAGCTGGAGCTGCCATAGCTTAGGGCAATGGGAGGGCCACAGCAGAGAGAAAAGTAAAGACAACATCCACTTGCCCCACCCACCCGTCAAGTAGGGATGAAAGTCGGCCTTAGTGATCCGACGGTGCCAAGTGGAAGGGCTATCGCTCGACAGATAAAAGTGACTCTAGGAATAACAAGTGATAGTTGAGTGCATGTTGGCATTCATAATCTCCATGTAATCTTCCAAGTTGACAGCGTCGAATGGGTGATTTGAATTTTTCCAACTGTGATTATTCGAGTCATTGTTGATCAGACATGCTCGTATTTATGTGAACTCATTGGTAATTCATTGTTAGGTGGAATTGTGTCCTAGATTTCACATTACAGAGTAAAATTCAAAGAATTTCCACATTTCCAACATTTGATTAAGGTTGTTACCTCCCAAACGCCAGTACTTGCTAGGATAAGAAATTCAGTTTCAGAATCTATCCCTTCAGACCCAACTACTAATTCTGAGCTTTTTGAGTTCCTTGTTCCCCCACTACTTACACATACTTGAGGCATACGTAGAGCACCTGACACATAAACAACAACAATCAGACAAGAAATTACTGGTTTGGGAGAATGAGAAAAGAAATAACTGGTTTGTGAGAGTTGAGAATAATGCTAACTTCTCGTTTACGCATAAATAGAAGTATGCGTGACAAAGCATTCTTACCTGGAATGAGCTTCTGAGACCAGTGTTTTCTGCTAATTTGATACGCCTTGCCATCTCTGCATAAAATAGCTCTGTACTCCCCCACGTTTGCAGTCACAAGCTTCTCCCCATTGATCACAATAGCAGAAGCCGAGCCCGGCTTCTCTGCCTCTGCCCCGGCTGCCCCTGCCTCTGGCTTCTGTCTTTCTCTCATCTTTGCTCTTGCACTCAGATGTGCCCTTCTCATTGCTTCCTTGCTCCTTTTCCACAGATTTGACTGCATTTCATAAAAAAGGCCTCATTTAATTTGGATAATTTGGCAGTAAAATATTGTCCAAATATATTCCATAAATGAAATTGAAAAACAGTTATCACATTCACCAACTTAGAAGGGTCTGTATCTTCAAAATATGAACTGCATAGATATAAAGGAGAAACATCATCTTTCATTATCAAATCCGCAAACTACTTACCTCTTTGAGCTTCTTGTTAAAGAAATTTGTTTTCATGTAGTCGAGAACCCCGTCGCTAAAACCTTCTTCGAAAACTCCAAAGAACCACAATTCACACTGTTCTATCTGTTCTCTTTGGATCACGACTGAGTCAAATTTCGTCACGTTATGACTCGGTGTACCACCCCATGTCCATGACCTATCTTCAACAACGTGATATCCATGTGATACATTCATCATCCATGGAGGCCTAATTTCTGCATTATCTGATTTTCTTTCTTTATTTCCTCCATTTCCAATGAGAAATCTTCTTAGCCTAGTTGCCTAGCCATATACACCAATTAAGGCATAAGGAAAAAAGAAAATGTACACATGTAACTGCACCCATGTACATACAAATAGGTATGTCAAAAATCAAAATAGGTCTGGTGTAGACACCACAACACAGTTTTAGGAATGAAAACACGTAGAAAACAATTGTAATAAAATATCGAATGCTTTATGCTCTTTAAATTTATTTTGCAAGTTTGATTGTGTCCCCTAATTCATTCACAACACTGGCATGTGATGGTCGTGCCAGGCAAAAAGTCTAACCAACACTACTCATTTTACACCTCTACTTAAGAAAATATTTTTGGATAAGGATACAAAAACACTAGAGAGATCACTAAATGGTTTATTCATTTGAAATAAATATGTAACTGTTATGAAAAGACTGTAATTACAAGCTGCAAGAAAAATGGGAAGAATTTATTTAAACCCTAAACATAAAAGAATCATTACTATCCATATAACATTGAAAACCCAAAAACCCAGCATTCATTTTTTTGTATTCGATTGGCCTCTGCTGTGTGCATGAAAGAAAGAGAGTTACCTTGAGCTTAAGATGAAGATCCTTGAGCCCCATGATTCATTGGTCAGTTTATGCGATTTTTCAAATGATTTTTGCTGTTTGATTGCAAAAATAATCAGATGAAATGGAAAGACTTTTGAATTGAGAAGAGGTTGAAGTGAATGAGAACTCTAATATGGCTCGAAGACTTCTAAACGAAGAGTCCATGCCTTGCTTCCTTGTGTTGCTGTCTTTTTAGCTATTTTCCAATTAAATTTTGACACATCACTAGAATTTTGAAGTGTTAAAATATTAGTGGGATACCAAAATATCCTTTTATAGGTTAAAATGTGTCACAAATGCACTGGCACTTCAAAATTATAGTGATGTGTCAAAACTTAATTGGACGTGAGCATTCACTATATTGATGCTTCAAATTTTGTTACTACAAATGAACAATGCTATATGTACAGAATTTATTCACTGAAAACTTTTACAGACAATACATGATGCGACAATATTGGAAGATGAGAAAAAAACAATCCAATCATATTTTGCTATATCAGTACTGATACAAGTTCGGTTGAAATTTTCCAGTACTCGTGGCTTTATTGTGTCCAAAATAGTATGATGTATTTTTCAATCATTCAAATAGCAATGTTAGTAATTTGTTGATGTGTCGACCCAAGATTGGCGTGCCAATTTACTTGAGTCGTGGTAGACCTTCAAGGTGTATCTATAGATTTAGGTAAAATTAATATTTTCTTGTTCAAATCAAAATAATTTTCCTTCATATGTTTGAAATGTCATATTCAAGAAAAGTTCATAGTTGCCCTTTACTTCATAAAACAACATTCAAAGTTCTCATTGAAGTCAGTACGAATGAAAGTAACTTTTCCAACAATTTTGATGACGAAGCATGTCTAAATTCAGTTAATAAGGTTAGACAAAGTGAAATATATGTATTATAAGATTTTACAAATAACATGTTAATTTATTGGATTATTCTATGTGTACACACCATAAGGTATACACAATAGATTACATTCCTTGATATAAAAGGGGGGACTACGAATATTTTATTGTATGTGGGCCTCTCCATGTGAGGAGGATGTAATATATAACAATCTTAATTTCTTCTTTTTTTTTTTTTAAATGAGCAAATTAGTCATGTTTGGCCGAACTTATAAGTTAGTTATTAGCACGGCGTTTGAAATTATTCTTTTTTACAAAATAT